TCCTTGTCATACAAATCTTCCGCCTTCAACTCAATCTAGGGGCGAGTCAGCACACAGCTCAATAGGCAATGTCGAGATGAATAGTGAGAAAGGACAATGATGAATGGTGTGCGTGACAGATTTCCCCTTTTTGATCATCTATCAGGCGATCCGATACGAGTACAGATCTCGCCAAGAACGAGACGGGCCGCATCGAACGACTTTCCAAGGGCCAGACATGTAAAGTTCGGCCCTTGATGCCGAAACGATCCGAAGGCGGGCGGGGTCAATAATCGACCTCATGTCAACGTCCGCGATAACGTAAAAAAACGTAACCCGAGGAGGGCGTACGAGAAAATGAGCGTAGGAGAGGGGTACGAAATGAAAACACGAGTGTCGAGTGAGACATGACAATCGTCATCACTTGATCACAAGACAGAAAAAAGGAAAAACATGGACAGGCAGATATTCGGGGATGCAAGCCCCCCATGTCCCGAAATAGCTTGTGACGTTTGGGCGAGCGCTATCCTATCGATTACGACTCGCCCATTCAAATCACTACCCGCAACGCATGAGAAAAAACAGAAAAAATTTCTCCTTTCAGGCGGCCCATGTTGTAAACCCAAACACATGGGAACCAACGCAGAAAATAGAGCAAATAGAAACAAGAATAATGATGGGGGGAAAAAGAGCGGGCAGATAGTGATGGCGAACGACGAATAGGAATCAATTGGGACAGAGAGAGATAACACGAACCGTGTTCATATCCACTTTGGCATCTGTAATCACATGAACGAAAAACACATTGTCAGCATTCTCATTCTATAACCAGAGACTCGAAAAAGGTGAGGAGAGAGGAGGTCTCCTCATGACGCAGTGATTGCCGGCGGAACGTTTTGCGAGCTCCAACAAAACCCGGCACGCACATGGGCGTAAAGACGAGCGCAAGCAGCGCGAGGATGATAGAAGAAAAGTAGGTAGAGAGAAAGACGACACTCACGAACGGCACCTTCCTTTTCCTCTCCTTCAAACTCCTTGTATTGACGTTGTCTCTTTTCTGGTTCTGGTTGCTTCTCTTCCGTGACCTCTGGATGGTCATTATTGGCTGGTGGACCAGCCTCCTTCTTGATAGGTTCCGACATCTCCTGTATGTAGAGAGGTCAAAGGTGTGTTGTGTGTGTGTATGCTGGTATTCGAGCGCTTGTGTTGAGCTGTTTATTTATGGATTATGGGGGGAAATGGGAGATGATAGGAAAGGGGAGGGGGAGGTCAAGATACGGATTGGATGGTGGTGGGGGGGGTTCTTTTTCTCTAGATTCGTCAAAGCCTATCTAAATGAGCTAAGCGACGACCCGCAACAAAAAAACGAAGTCTCTCGACAAGCCGTTTCAGCAGCAGCACCTTCTTACTTCTCTAATGTAGCCGTCTAATGCGACGTGTGGAAGCGGGGGGCGTAGGTATGCTGGGCAAGAAGCACGGCACGGGCGGGAGGAGAGAGAGAGGGGAACGTTTCGACGAGCGCGAGGACGACAGCGACAACTATGTTTGGCAGCTTGACGCTGTCTAGATTCTAAGAAGGAGAAGGGGAGGAGAGAAAAGGGGAAAAGTGAGCTTTTATACTCGAGTGGTCAGGATGGATGCAGAGGGCAGTTTGAGAGGAGTGGGTTGGAAACAGAAACTCGACCATCCTGAAATCATCACCGCTTAAATACCCCCTCCTCAAACTCGACTCGGCCGCGATTCAGCGAACCCAAACAATTCATCAATAGCAGATCAGAGAGTGTTAGGAAATGGATTAGTATGGCTGAATACTCGGCTCAACGCCTCCCTAGCCGTCACACACCAGGCATTATCGCCTCGTTTTAGACGAGCATCACCATTTATCCTAAACAGTCGCGGCGACACGTCTCGCCTCCTCAGCTCAAGTCATGCACAACACCCACGACACCCACACGCTCAACGAGTACTCTCTGCTCTGCTCAACGGTGACGCATTTCGACAAGATATTATTAGGGTTAATGTGATTGGCTAAAGATTACTCCCTCCTCACAGACAAAGCAAGCATATGCAACGCAACCACCGGCTGACGCTGCTTCCCTCAGGGTAGATTCGTTGGGTCGTTCTCTCTCGGTAACCGAAGAGACGACAGAAGAGACGATAGAGACTGGTTGAGCAGACGGTCTGACGACCGTGACCGGATGGATAACGGGCATCGAACTTTCTACACGGGCGATCCTCTGCATGCAAGCACAAGCCTCTGCGCTGATTCCATCCTCCCTCGCATGATCCGAACCCCTCGGCAGTCAAGAATAACGAATGACAATAATGATACGGACTAATGAGAACATAACAAGACTGTTTGCCAAGAGGGATACATGTATGGATAGGTCGCCCATCGATTTCGACCTGTCACAGTGTGCTGGTGGGTGCTCCATGCAGAACCTTCGACCCGGGTTCACGCTACATTTCTCCCGCGGCTACACGGATCGGAAGGAAGCCACGCGATTCTTCCAGACAGCAAGACCGAGGTATACTAGCTGCTGGCCCCAGCGTCACCTGCTAATCGAGTTCAGCCGTAGGCACTGCTCCAACTCCTAAATCCACCGTCACACAAACAATCAATTCCATTCGAACGATCACTAATCAATCCCAACGAATAACACCAGCTCCCGCACCACAATCAGGCCCCCACAGCTAAAACCACCGATCGCACATTTCAGCAGCGCACTCAACAGTCAGACTGATTTACCTATACGGATATATGACTGTCCATATTAAAACGTAATCGCAGTACTCGAGATCCGAAGAAGCCCGCTCTGTTACCGTTCCCTTGGAACTCAACTCTCTATCATCACAAATACCGATCCTCAAACGAAAAAAACAGTGCCCCTCGCTCGCCGAACTCACGGCCGCATAAACTAAACCCAGGAATGATATCACCTTACCAATCCAACTGTTTGTTTTAATGTTCGTGTTATAGCGCCCGGTGACAAAGTTGTCCAGCCTCACGGGTACCGACGAGCCGGCCACCGTTGCCCTCGGGTAGGTCTCGCCTTTACCTGTCTGCCTCGCATATCAAACC